TGTATTTGTATGATTACATCAGATTTCTGTAGATCATCAATATGGATTAAGTGTTTTTTTATGGTTTATCAACCTTTTGCAGGTTATTTAAAGCCAGAAAATATTTTTAGATTGACAGATTTTTTTAGGCAATATTGATTTACTGATACAAGTCCTGTTAATTAACTCATAAGTAGGGAGAGAGAAGGTGGGTTAATATCTTTCTCAAGGGTATTTGCGCGTAAGTGGATGAAAGAAACCCGATTGGAATTGCAATTTGGCCCCCCGATTAATAATTCCAAGTCGTTATTCATTACACGACACACACATCTAAACTTATAGCACCTAGAAATTCCCAAGCGTTCACCCATCTAGCTACCGACCAGACTCGTCGTTGCTTAACTTCGGTGATTGTACGAGAACCGATGTTTCTCCTTAGATCATCGTTTCTTTTTTTCATGATCCTCGCAGGCTCTTCTTTTGTTTTGATAGTCCGAATACGCCAAAGAAACTTTTATATTTACTTCTTCATTTCCCGGGCGAGGTCCTGATATTATTATTATTATTGTTATTATTATTATAGCTACCGCTGCTTTGTTTCGCGTCTTTTGAGGTGATTACTTCGTGTTGCTAGAAAATGATCAAAATATGATCGCGCTGACAGATATTTCACCTGACTTGCTGTTTGTGGAATGCCATTAATATGTCCCCAACTAAGATGGCGAACTGCAGAAGGATTACGAATTGAAAGTGAGATTGAGGAAACCGATAAACAATTTATAAGAATAAACAAATGAATCGCGAGTGTAGATGAGGTGAAAAAAAAAAGAAAAGAAAAGAAACGATAAGCAGGTAAGAAGAAAATTGAATTTAAAGCAAGGTATAAGAGCGAACTAAAAGAATACGCGTGCGCGCATGCGCATGTCTTGTTTCCCGTCGTTTGTTTTATCTATTTCTTCTTTCTTTCTTTCTTTTTTTTTTTTTAGGCACTTCTTCATTCCTATATTGTTGAGTAGAAGTATTTCAGATTTTTTAGCTACAATCTTGGGTTTCGATTGTTGATAACTATCCTTGAAAGAAAGCGGTCTTGTCTTAAACAATTCTACACATACCACAGATTCTTCATATGTTGCTGTTTTGTGTGTGTGTAAAATAGATGCTTATTTCCATCATTAGACTTACGGATGAACCGACACGTGAAATTAATATCCACGATTAAATTAAATGCATTGGCAAGATTATGCTGAAAAATTAATATCTGTTGTGTAAAATGAATGTGTTTTTTTTTCATCATTCGGCTGCAAAATTTGATATAATTAATCCAAATACGTTACTTTTTCGCAGCAGTAAGGATGAGTCCTTTCTGTTTGTTTTATTTGTTTATATATATATATATATATATATATATATATATATATATATATATATATATATATATATATATATATATATCCCTCAACCTCAGGATATACATAAAAAATAAAGTTGTCATATAGGAAGACAACGAGTAACTACCGACATCGAGGTTCGAGCGTGACACTCTGGACTTATGAATATATGTTTTCCACAAGGTGTATAAATAGAACATTAGAACTAAAATAATAGGATGATAAAAGAGAAAAAGAAGAATTATGTGACTGAAACTGAGCTGTATTGGAGAAAAATAGTCTGTGATATTGTGATATAAGAAGAAAATGAGTAACTACTGGCACTGAGGTTCGAGCGTGACTCTCTGGACTAATGAATATATCTTTTTTCGCCAGGTGTATATATAGCGGTGTCAGGCTGCTGACTGCGGTGATTACTGAGTAACTATTGAGTGGAACGATCCAGTCGAATTAGTGTGAATTATTGTGCGTCGATGATTTGGGTTTTGATTTAGGATTTACCGGACGTTAAGCCGAGCCGCGCTACTAACAAGGTATTCACTGAAATGGTTAATTATCTTTGGTTGACTTTTACTTCTTTGTTCTTGTTAAGTATTTATTTGCGGTTATAATTAAATACTGTTTTATCATTGAAGTCTTGAGTTACACTTAATTATTAACGGCCACCGTACGTCACAAAGAAAATTAAATCTTCCTGATAAATAACGCCTTGTATTTTTTCCTAAATGATCACCCAATGCAAGATCAAAAAGCAACTCAAGTTATACGGTTAGTAAATAAGATTGTTGAAGGACTAGGCGAGAGGAGGAGGATGTAAATCGTGCTGATGATTTTGTCTGTTTGTTTAGCGGCATATCAACACCTTGTGGGTCATTTAATACCGAAATTTAATTTTCTTGGAAGCATTAGTAATTTCTTCCCAAAAATGTATTGCTGGTATTTTCACTAAAAAAAAATGTATTTTTATAGTTTCATAGTGTTTGGTCCTAGTTTGGGGGTAATTATTAGCCAACAGCTCGGACCCTAACAGGTGCTACCACCCAGAGCCAGGGTGGATCTGGGTACAACAGCAATTGAAAGGTGGTACCACGATCCTCAATCTTCCGATCAGTGGCCTTGCTGTCGGATGTAGTTTAAAGACATACCAAGGACGAGTGCTGATAATTAACGCCTTGACTATTTTTATTATTAAATTTTCACTCAATACAAACCCCGAGAGCTACTCATGGTAGAAGGTTAATAAATGATATTACTTTGCGTACGTAGAACTAAATTTGGCTGATGATTAGCGTTTTATATTATTTTACTAAATGCTCACCAAATGCACGGCCAAAGAGTCACTCAAGGCAGAGTGTTACTAAATAAGATTGATGTATGGATGTAGGTAGGAAAATAGGAAGGATTAACGTACTGTATTTTATTTTTTATTTAATGTTTACCCGATGGAAGGTTCAAGAGCCACTCAAGGGAGAGGGTTACTAAATGAGGTTGTTGTATGAACGTAGGCGGAATAGAAGAGTAAGTGCAGGTTATAGGGGTACGTACAATAGATAACGGTTGTCCCTAGACTTGAAAAGGTTAAGATTATAATTAAAGAAAATTATCATCGACATATATTTTCCATCAAAACAAGGACGATTTTAAAAATAAAATCCTTATCGATAAAAGGTTTTAATTCATCGAAAAAAAATTTCATGGATAATTACAGTAATTTAAAATGACATTGTTCGGACTGTTGTCCTCCTTACTGTCACCTCCACGGCATTTCAGCCGTTGTACGCTTCGGCCTTCTTCGGAACCGATATCTAATTCGCCTTGATGACTCTCTGAATTTTTGTTCTCTCTGCTGAGGTCAACGATTGAACTCACAACTCTTAGGGTCAAGTCACTTTTTGCAGCGACCAACCAACGCTTTTATCCACTGGGGACACAAGTGAGTGGGGACTTACAAATCTAATGTGTCAGTTTTACATTTTTTTTACCAGAGCTCATATTACCTTTTTTTTTTCTTCTTTTTTTTTATCAAGGCGAATTAACTAAAACTGAGATCTTTAAAGGCATGGTTCGTGGGATTATAACTATCTACCCCCGGGGACTAAATAATGGGTTCGGGTCGAAATTCCAACAAATATCACCTGAAGAAGGCCGGAGGGTTCAACGGCCGAAACGTCGTGAATGTGACAGTAAAGATGAGTCCGAAGAATATAAATAGTTATCATCTCAGAAGTATAGACAGATGTTTATAAAATTTATAATTTATAAAACTTAGTTATAAAATATGACTACTGTCCATGAATTAGAAAAAAGAGAAATTGTCCGGATCACTTAATGAAGAACAAACTCAATGCTACTCTGTAAGTCAATTTTGCCTAAATAATCTGGCGTTATTATTTTTTTTAACAAGGCCAGTATGATTAAAACCTTCGGTCACGATGACTTATGACTTACGTGCAGCACTACCGTCGAAGGTTCCAGTTAACCATTTTTACTCACAACTTGTGTTAAGGTTTTCAGAAACTTTCCAAAGGTGCCGCAAGCCGATGATATCAAGAAATCACATCCCTGACAAATCGGCCATGATGAGAATAGAATCCGAGTTTCAGGGTCAGAAAATGAACGTTCTAACAAGCCTATATAGAAATATTTCTGTGACTAAAATAATTGCTTATTTCCTTGATTAAGCTGCAAGCTTACTGATGTACCTACACATGAGATTAATATTCACGACTGAATTAAGTGCATTGACAAGGAATAAGATGATGTTGAAAAATAAATATTTGTTGTGTAAAATAAATGCATTTTTTTATCATTAGGATGCGGAGTTGCTGATCTACTGCTGACCACCACCGAATTAAGTGCATTGACAAGGAATGAGATTATGTTGAAAAATTAACATTTTTTTTCATCATTAGACTACAGACTTGATGATGTGCTTGCGTATAAGTCGACTCCTCACAGAGTAATCGTCGATAAGCTCGTCTGGTAGAGCATTACGATTGTAGAGTTAATTCGACCCGCATTAGATGGGAAAGTCGTGTCTTGATTTAGTATTTACACACACACGTGTACACGCACACACATACAGTGAGAGAGAGAGAGAGAGAGAGAGAGAGAGATGTGCGTAGGGGTGCGTAGGGGTGCGTTTTGATAAATACGTGTACTTTGTAGTCAACACTTAAAATCATTACTTATGATCCAATAAAATACATACGTAAGTATATAGGTAATATTTTTCATCCCACATCCACACGCATTTGCAGTTATTTAAAATATACTATGTATGTTAGTGCAATTCATAACCTCACCCATGTTCACCTAGTCGACAAAAACACGCATGCGTACAAACATCCGTAGTAATCAGACGACAAACGAAAGATATAAAATAAACAATTGAAAAACGTAAGGACTAAAACCCTTAAGTGTAGAAATGAAAAAATATCAGAAAGACACGGACAAAGAGAAGAATATAGCGTGGAAGGAGGAGGAAGGAGAGAAGGGAGTGAAAAAAGCAATAGAAGAAGAGGGAGGAAGTGACGTAATATATGGTAGAAACATTGCTAGTACGACTCTATTCTGTGAGACTTCCGTTTCTTTTGTAACCTCCCCGGCTCTGTTTTATGACGATGGACTGAGATGCGTGTAGTGCGCAAACGATTGCGGAGGTCGGACCGTAGGCGTGTTTTTGTGGGTGGAGCTAAGCGAAGAATCTTTCGTGCTTTCCCAGCAGAAGTGCCGTCATTTTTGCCGAAGGGTCCACCCTAACACCCCCACCAACACTCCCCTCCATCTTTTTTTTTTTTTTTTTTTTACCCCCGAAAGATAAGGCATCGCATCTAGACTGACAATCGGAAAACAGTTGCTAATACGAGCAATTTTTTTCCGCTTTCTCTCTCTCTCTCTCTCTCTCTCTCTCACTCTCTCTACTTCTTACTTTCTCTTTCCTCGCTTTTCATTTATTTCTTTATCTTTCCTTTCATTCCCCCTCCCTGCAAATACACGCAGGCATTTAGGACTCAGAGATCGAGAATTTGCAATTTGTAGCGCATGCGTTGTTTTTATCGAGACGAAACCGCACATGCGCGTTAAACACATATCGCACGGAGTGACACATTTACAGACACAAATAGCTGCGCACACGTATACAAAGATACACTTAGTCACTGGATATATATATATATATATATATATATATATATATATATATATATATATATATATATATATATATGCAAAAACATTATCAGTCATAATTCTCTAATGTATTCCCTTTTCAGCTGAAAATTGGCTTTTCGAAAGGATAACAACAGGCTTATATTTGTATGATCGAATTTCATGCTAAAGTGGTACTGGGAACATGATGACAACATTTGAATCTCTCGCTATTAATCAATAACAACTCTTAACAACCAAATATGTGCTCATGTTATAGTATCTATCTATATATCTATCTATCTATCTATCTATCTACGTCTGTTCTATATTTATCTATCTTTACACCTACTTACCAAGTTATGGTCTACCAAGTTTTTTCGCCTCCGTATATAAAATTGTTATTTCCTTTAATTCTTACATTTAAAGAGAAATGGTAAAATTATATATATATATATATATATATATATTGTTTTTAAAGATTTAATGGATTTTATCTTTTTAAACCGATATCTCTTTATTGCGCCAAACGTTAGCTTTAGCAGTTACCCATTTGTTTTTGTACATACATACATACATACACACACACACACACACACACACACACACACACACACACACATATATATATATATATATATATATATATATATATATATATATATATATATATGAGGGTATATATGACGGTTTCTCAGATAATAAAAAATAATTGCCTTCAGAAAAACTCTTTACATTGTCTTTACATTCAATACTTTGACGTCTTTCTACGTCACCAACAAAGTCCACAACATAAACATGAACACTTTAACAATCTCTTTGTAGCGGCTTTTCATTTGACATAGAAAAATGTTTCACATACATAGTACACCTCCCCCATATATATATATATATATATATATATATATATATATATATATATATATATATATATATATATATATAGTATTGGGGCAGCAGATCTTTATTTAACATATATTATTAAATATAACAGACAATGAATGTCTATTATGTCTGATCATCAGCCGTTTTAATGTTCGAATGATTGTTTTAATTTCTAGTGGAAATAAAGAAAAGAATTATTCAACATTTGGATACTTTTTATTAAGTTGCAAGCCGAAATCTTAGGACCAACTTAATAAAAATTATCCAAATTTTGGACAATTTTTGTTTTTATTTTCACCAGAAATTAAAATAAACATTCGAATGTTAGAACGGCTTATGATCAGATATAATAGACATTCATTGTCTGTTATATTTAATAATATATATATATATATATATATATATATATATATATATATATATATACACTATCCGCCTGAAGTTATTATACAATTCACATAAACCTCAATAAACCTCAATTGCTTTGAACAATTTTTGTTAAATTTTAAACGATTATTTTAGACCCAAATATAAAGCTTGAGTTAATTTTTTAGGTACTTTCATCATGATTTATTATTGGTTTTATTATAAAAACTGAAATTTAAAGTTATTATGCAGATTAAAATAATATTAAGTTTAAGGTCTCTGAAATGTAACAGAATTTCTTTCCATAACATATATTGAAACATGGACAATGGAAAGGATCAGACAAATGCTGAGAAAATAACAAAGTTATTGATAGACGGAATGTCTATATTGGAGGTATCAAAGGCGATTCGCAGAGATCATGAAACGATGAAGAGAGCTGTTGAAAATATTTTGATTCTTAAGAATTAAAAGCAAAGAAAAATGGGTTAATTTGCAGTATAAGCACCAAAATCCCCCTGGTATTGTGAATGTACCATTCTGGTGTGAAATTGCCTGGTTATTTAAAAAATGACATTAAAACATTGCGCTCGATTACCGTTTAGAAGTTATGGACAATGTAAGTTCGACATCTTTCTCGGCACGTACACAGAAGACCACCATTACTAGCTTTGTCTACATACGTTTGCCTCGTTTAGTCATGCGGCGCAGAAGCTTCACTTATCTTGATTACTGCGCAATGTGTGAAGTTTGAAATGAATTCGTGAAATAATGCGCGAAAAAACAAAATCCGACAAATAAAATAAAATGCGAGAAAAGTAAAAAAAAAAAAGAAGGATTTTTTTACTTTTTTTCAACGATATTTTTGTTTATTATTTGTCGTGAAAGTTTCTTGAATTTAAAGATTCATAAATTACATTTTAAGGTGACATTCATTAACTATAAGCAGATTTATTTAGGACAATAAAGAAAAAGTACTATTCATTTAAAACTTCATTTTACAAAATAAGCGCATTTTAAAATAACATCTGCGGAAATCGCGCAATAATCAAGACCAGTAGGATACGAAAAGCTGTAAAGAGACCGTTAACTAAGTAAGCTTCCGCGCATTACAACTAGTGGAAAGACTATGTAAACAACGTCAGTAATGGCCGCCGGACAACGCGAAAGAGATTGAACTTACATTGACGATAATTCGAAAACGGTAATCGAATGCAATGTTTTAGGGACATTTTTTAAATAAACAGGGAATTTCAACACCAGAATGCTACATTCTCAATACCGGTGGTGGTAGTGGTGGGGGGCTTTTAGTGCTTATACTGCAAATTAATCAAAAAAGGCTTCAAGATCTTGTCTCCTAGTGGAAAGCGTAAAGTAAGTTATAGAGAAACCACTTTTGACCAGTGCCCAGATCTTTGAACAGACTGGAATTGAGGAAGAAAGGGACAAAAAGTGTAGAATACTTCGCAAATTGGGATCTGTCAACAAATCTATTCAAACTCCTTTCAGTAAACCAAATATTTTAAAGCGACAAATTTGAACCAAGAAATACATGAAAATTGTTTTTTGTAAAGTCATTTTCAAGGATGAATCTTGGGTGACACTTGATGGACCTGATGGAAGGGGCCAAATGATAGATTTTATCCGACACAGGTGTGCTTGTGGCCAAAAGAAGATTGCAGGATGCGACAGTGTAATGATATGGGCTGGAGTTGTCGACCAAACCATTATGGAACCATTCAAATTCGATAAAGTATTTAAACTGAACAGTGCTAACATTGCGATTTCATGGACAAGACTTTCTTTGAATGATACAAGTTCCAACCTCGCAGTTTCAAAGTGAAGTGCCTATTTATGCTCGTCAATGCCCCTTTTCGTTTATTTAAAGATTACCCGTGAAATTTTGAGCGTAAAAAGCTTACAGAAGAGAAGATAATGACATGGCTACTATTAAGTCTTAATCTGAATCCTATCGAAAATCTATGGTCAATTGTGAAATTACAGGAAGGTAGTAAATAATATGACATAAAAGCACGCATATGGGAAGCAATTAAAACCACCATGTCAGAGATTGAACATGACGAAGAGAAAAAAAAACGTACAAAATCAATAAATAAGAGATACTGGCTGTTATTGAAAAAGGCCATTATATTAAGATATAAATGCTTCAAAGACTTATATATGTTTGTTATTTGTTCTATTATAGGTGTTGATCAATATTTGATAATTGTATTGCCTTGTTATTGAAGTAAAAAGCAATTCCCTGGTTTTGTATACTAACTGTAGTTTTTATAATAAATCTAATAACTTTAATAAAAATATGTTGAAAATACCTAAAAATTTAAACGAAGCTTTTTTTACCTCTAAATTAATTATCTGAAATTTGACAAAATTTTTTCAAAATAAATTCGACTCATTGATGTTTATGTGATTTATATAATTTCAGACTGCCTGGATTCCAAAAGAATTAATAAATTTTACTTGCATTATTCACATTACTCAGACAGTTATCCTCATCTTCATTGCCATATTCACAACGTTTCGGCCGTTGTGCGCTCCGGTCTTCTTCGGATGATTGGAATTTCGAATCGAACCCTTTATTTCGTCCACCGAGGTAGATTGTTCTAGTTCCACGTGCCATGCCTACTCCGGATGTCTCAGTTATTTCTCTTTAACTCAATTTTGATTCACCACTGCTGGTTCCCCCTTGAGGACACATGGCTCAGTGGATAAAGATGTTGTCTAGATCCAGTGACTAGACCCAAAGAGTTGTGAGTTCAATACCAGCCCACAGCAGTGGTGCTCCAAAACTTTGCGAGTTGAGTTAAAGGGAATGACTGGGACATCCTGGAAAGGCGTGGAACTAGAACAATATACACCGTAGTACGAAATAAAGGGTTCAGTTCGCAGTTCCAATCACCTGAAGAAGGCTGGAGCGTACAACGACTGAAACGTTGTGAATATGGCAATGAAGATGAGGATAACAGTCCGATTAATTTAAATAATGCCTCATCTCAGAAATATAAACAGGTATTATTGGATTATTATTTGTATTACTTCAAACGTTATTTTTAGTGGATACCTGTATTTAAATAGACGCTCCGTTTTATTTTAATCAGTATTTTGCCTACCGGGATTTAAATAGAGTCTTGTTTTATTGGGAAGCTCTTCGTAGCCGAAAGGTTAAAGTACGCTGAATCAGACGGTGGTTTCTTCTGCAGAGGAGAACGTAGTTTCGAATCCTTCTGTAGGGCATCCTTTGCTGTGATAAGTTTTCTCGAGTTTGCAGTCTGGTAGGTAGAGGGTTACTGAGTGAGATTGGTGTAAAAGAAGGCGAGGCTGAAGTAAGAAAGTATCGTGGTGACGTGTAGGATTGACCCTGGACTTTAATAAAAAGATTGTAGTTATCAGGGAAGCATCCACTGGGGAGTCACAATTCTGAGGAAGAACCTGTCTGAGAGGAACTTACTCCTTATCAAAGGAACATGAAAGGATTGGGGATGGTTTGCCACTGTGGACATGGCATAATGAGGGGGTCCTAGCTGTTGGAACTAAGGAATGTATCTCATCTGAACGTCCGCCATAGTACTTAGCGATAGAGTAATAATAAAAGGAGAGAAACGTTTCGTCTGTTTTATCTGGGATAAGAATTGTGTGGTTTATTTTTATCTGGGATAAGAGTTGTGTGGTTTGTTTTTATCTGGTATAAGAATTGTGGGGTTTGCTTTTATCTGGGATAAGAGTTGTGGGGTTTGCTTTTATCTGGGATAAGAGTTGTGTGGTTTGTTTTTAGTCCAAGTTGAAATGTTAATCCCTCTTCCTGTTGTGACCTCCTGATCCACTCCTCTTCTCGACTTTCTTTTTAACCTTATTCCCCGTTCTCTTGATAGTTCTTGAATAGACATTGAAGCCAGAGTATGAATATTGGCACCATTATAGAAGGCTTGAATTATATTTTCCCTCTCACCGTTTCTCAGTTGGGAAGACAGTAGGGCTGACATAAAACGATTTTAACCTGTTCTCTTTCTAGCTAAATAACTCAAATGGTTTTTCAGTGATTCTTACGAAAAATGGTGTCAAGATTACTCAATGTTTTATCTGAGAGGCTGAAAAAAAGAAACTCAATTAGTTTAGTCG